TATATAAATATATATATATTTATATATATAAAATATATATATATATATATCCATATGTATACATATGAACAAGTGGTCAGGTGCGTATCCACTGTGAATCCAAATGCAGTGATTAGTGGTACAGCAAAACACCGTTGAATCATACAAACGACACGTCACCACAATGCAGTGGCGGTCTGTCATCACCCGAACTGTATCCTGTGCAATATATGAATGCATCCACAACACGAAATGAAACTGAACTGAAGTCGAACCATCCACAAATATGTATACGTAAATATATCCGTAAACTCGCCCATCAACATGCATGTATAGATAATCTATTCGATAGTGACATACCTGCATCTGGCTGTGGGAGTGACATAGTGCACAGCAGAGCTCCAGCTAGAGCCAGGGCGAGACTGACACCGTTGTACTGGAAGTGGCCATGATCCACCATTATCAATGAAGGGCACATAATCATGCCCACAATCAGGGTAGTCTTGTGAGCCCAGTCGGATCTCCGGTGGTGGATGTATGCGAAGAGGATGCACACCGGTAACCATAGCAACAGGTCTGACGACAGGACTGTGAAGCGCATAAATGCCTTGCTTTCGGGTGTCTCGATGCCATGTGATGCGTGTAGGGCTACCCATGTGGGGTTGATAGTATGCGCGAGTGCTCCCCACGCACAGCTCCAGTATCCTGTCAGGCGTGGGGTGAGTTTGGTGTCAGTGTGAGCGGTTGCAATGAGAACGTAGCTCGACCCACTCCTGTTGCGACGTGACGTAGCATCTGGTTATGTAGTTATTTCACGCGAACCACTAGGGTACACCGGGTGTACCAACATAAAATATAAATGTACTATTGCAAGCACGAGAACATGACATGCTCACTGAATGTCTGACATCAACAAAGTACTTTGTTCTATTCAAAAGTGCCTTTTGAGCAGTTTTACCCAGTAGATATAGACCCGAGTGCACGTATGTGTAATAGGAATTTACTTGTCGGCTCCTTACTACTGTGAAGTATATACAGAGATGTGTACATACATACACATATATATATGTTCATATTTATATATATACATATGTATA